GGGTTTAGGGTTTAGGGTTTAGGGTTGAGGGTTTAGGGTTTAGGGTTTAGGGTTTAGGGTTTAGGGCTAGGGTTTGGGGTTTAGGGTTTAGGGTTTAGGACTTCGAGTTTAGGGTTCAGGGCTTAGGGTTTGGCGTTTTGGGTTTTTCTTGTTTCGGGGCTGCTCGCGTTCATATGAGTTTAGGTGCAGGGTGCCCAAGATTCTGTGTTGAGGGTTCGAACGTGCATGTTCAGATTGTCCCCCCTGGTTCTTAGGCGGTAACGGGGCACTTAGGTAACGTACAGAATCCTTTAAAGGGTATATATACGGGGATATGGGGTACCTCATGCCCCCATTCCCTACTAAGAACCAGCACGGTGTTTGAGTGTTCCATGGTTTCAGGCTTAGGCACGCATGTCTTCCCTGCCCTTTTGTGTTTTTTTTGGGGGGGGCGGGGCGGGGGGGGGGGGCTTTTGCTTCTTATTCTTCTCCTTGTTCGTTGTCGTAGCGAGGGCTCACTGCGGAGATTCAACTTTGCGAGCGTGGTAACCTTAGAGCCTTACTAAGGGGTACCCCCAAACCCTACAGGGCTATGTAATTTGGGATGTTCCAGGGGTCTCCACTTGCCAAGGATGCCTTGAAAACCTTGGAGGCCTATTTGCTTGCTGGAGGCCTGAAAGGGAGTTGAGGTTAGTTTGGGGGGGAGTCGAGCCTCCTAAACCCTAAACCCTAAACCCGAAACGAAACCCTTTTGCCTGCACCCAAAACCCTAAACCCTAAACGGTCTAGGATTTAGGGTTTAGGCTCTTGGAGTTTTTGTACTTTGTCCCTCATTTGGCTACAGAGGATCGTACATATAGAAATATTGTTCAGAAGGTTTCAAGGGGCCTCGGAGGAGGGCAACCGTGCCTACAGCCCTTCCGAAGATGCACATGTCGCTGCTTGTCACCCTCAAGCCTGCACCGGAGTGCCCTCCCCCCTCCCCCTCCCCCCCTCCCCCCCCCAAACTTGAAGCCAAGGCCCTTGAAGCCAAGGCCCTTAAGCCCTGAAACTTGTTCGGCCAGAAGCCCTGAAGCTGTCCAGCCACGGCCCTTCAAGGGTTTAGGGTTCAGGGTTTAGGGTTTGGGGTTTAGGGTTTAGGGTTTAGGGTTCCTGAAGTTATTCTTCCTTGCTGGGATGAAGCCAAGGGCTTTTGAGGCTGAAGCCTGTGCTGAGCCTGAGAGTAGCCTGGTTTAGGGTTTAGGGAGTTTAGGGTTTAGGGTTTAGGGTTGAGTTACCTAATCCCAAACAAAAATTCACCCCAAAAAATTTGGCTGCAGTACAACGAGTACCCCAAGCAAAGCTACCAAAAGCAAATCGGGCTGGCCCGTGGGCGACCTATCACGAAATGATTACAGCGGGTAAATAAGCGAAAAACCAGTGCCACCTGAACTAAACCCTAAACCCTAAACCCTAAACCCTAAACCCTAAACCCTAAACAGCTCCCTGGATCAGGCGCTTGCCCTCCCGTCCTAGGGCAGGTGTTGTACACCAACGTGGAGCTATCGAGAATTGGACTCGAGAAAGTCTCCGCACCCCGGGATGCCCCAATGGTAGTGTTTTATTTTAATGTCTCGTTTTGTATTTTATTTGTTTTATTGTATTCTTCTCTCTTTTTCTTTTTCTTTCTTTGTCAGGGCGGGGGGGGGGGGGGGTAGGGTGCAAGGTTTAGGGTTTAGGTTTTAGAGTTTAGGGTTTTGGGGTTTAGGGTTTCGGGTTTAGGGCGTCCCTGAAGCCTACAGGTACTGGATCACCAAGTCACTTTGGAAGCTGCCGCTGCGCGGGGCGCGCTTGCGGATGTCCCTGTCCGCCACCGTGTCGACCTAGGTCTCCACCACACGGAGACTTTGCCCTAGAAGCCGGAGTTTGGGGTTTGGGGTTTAGGGTTTAGGGTTTAGGGTTTTGGGTTTAGGGTTTAGGGTTTGGGGTTTGGGGCTTACAGGGTTTAGGGCTTATAAGGCTTAGGGCTTATAAGGCTCATAAGGCTTCGTGCTTTTGGGCTTTTTTTTGAGGAGATCTTGGTGGGTCTCCTGCAGAGCCTCTTGCCAAAAGCGCTGCGCGCCGGGCGGCAAGAGCTCGCCATGGTGGAAGTGGGCACCGGCAAGGCTCTTGGGTTCCCCTCCCCGGTTTTTGGGTTTAGGGTTTATAGGGTTTAGGGTTTAGGGTTTCGGGTTTAGGGTTTAGGGTTTAGGGTTTAGGGTTTAGGGCTACGACCCCCTAGGGGTAGTAGGGGACCGGCAAGGCCTTCAGCACCGTCCACGTCCTGAAGGCTGTGAAGCACCCGTGGCCGTGTTAGGGTCTAGGGTTTAGGGTCTATAGGGTTTAGGGTTTAGGGTTCAGGGTTTGGGGTTTAGGGTTTAGGGTTTATAGGGTTTAGGGTTTAGGGTTTAGGGTTTAGGGTTCAGGGTTCAGGGATAGGGTTTAGGGTTTAGGGTTTAGGGTTTAGGGTTCAGGGTTTAGGGTTTAGGGTTTATAGGGTTTATAGAGTTTATAGGGTTTAGGGTTTGGGGTTCAGGGTTTAGGGTTTAGGGTTTAGGGTTAGGGTTTCATTTGTGAAGTTCAGGGCCTACAGACATGCCCCGTAAGGGATAAATCTGGCTATCATTCTTTAACGGGGGTTCCTCAAACCCTAAACCCTAAACCCTACGAGCAGGTCATTGCAGCAGCAAAAGGCCACTAAACTTAGCAAAAAAACAAACTAGCCCTAAACCCCAAACCCTAAACCCCATAAACTCCCCCCTAGTGCTCCCTCCTTAAGAAAGACCTAAACCCTAAACCCTAAACCCTAAACCCTAAACCCTAAACCCTAAACCCTAAACCCTAAACCCCACAAACTCCCCCTAGTGCTCCCCTGTAAGCGCAGATCTCAAGGCAAGCACGGGTCTTCACCATCGATCCATGGATGGAGGAGAACCGCAGCAAGTCTGTCAGAGGCAAAGTTGGCTTCCAAGGAGCTGCAGAGGCAGGGTTTAGGGTTTAGGGTTTAGGGTTTAGGGCTTAGGTTTCAGGGTTTGGGGTGTGTTAACCCTAAAACTTAAACGCTTTTGGTGCACTAAGCTCCTCTAAAATACCCAACCCCCCCCCCCCCCCATATATGGGACTCTCATTAGGAACTAATCGACGGGGGCAGGGGTGTTCTCGACATCATGGCCTGTTTTTTGACTTTTGTTTTTTTTGTTGGGGGGGGGGGGGGGTAGTTTTTAGGGTTCAGGGTTTTGGGCGCAGAGAAGCGGTCGGAAGTTGTGAAAAGCGACCCCCCCCCCCACCCCGCCATGCCCCCTCCCATATGCGAAGGTAGAGGCACGGCGATCTTTGGAACCTTGGAGCAGTCGGGTGACCATCCTCCAAATGACTGGGGATCCTTTGGGTGGTTACTTGAGCATTCCTTTGTTTTTGTGTACCCTTAGCCCTACAAACCGTAAACCCTAAACCTTGAACCCGACACTCCAAACCCTAAAGCCTAAACCCTATAAGCCCCAAACCCTACAAACCCTAAGCCCTACTGCTGTATTATTGTCGCTGGTTGTACTAAGTAGCTGAGTGAGTACACTTTACACTTGTTGGGATACTATAGTCCCCTGTAGAGCTGAAAGTGCCCTAAACCCTAAACCCTAAACCCTAAACCCTAAACCCTAAACCCTAAACCCTAAACCCTAAACCCTAAACCCTAAACCCTAAACCCTAAACCCTAAACCCTAAACCCTAAACGCACACATTTTTGGGGCTTATGAACTCAGAGTTCAGTGACAGGACGAAGCTGCCCAGCTTTTGGCAGATTCCGCCTTTGACACTCGGCTCTTCGCCACCCTATGTGGTTTAGGGTTTAGGGTTTAGGGTTTAGGGTTTAGGGTTTAGGGTTTAGGGTTTTCAATTTCAGGGCTACTAGAGAGGCCTTCCGAGCACCCTTCACACAAAACGAAAAATACCCTCCAACCCCCAAAGCGCCCCAAAAGGATTCTAAAGGATCTGTACCCAAACCCTCAAGCCCTAAGCCCTAAACCCTAAACCCTATTCCCTAAACCCTAAACCCTAAGCCCTAAACCTTGAACCCTAAACCCTAAAGCCCTAGACTGCACCAAGGACCTAGTGTTCCTCGACGGCGGTCCACAGCGGGAGTTGAACGTCCCCATCTTCCGGCGACTTGGGGCGGAGCTGTGGGTTTTTTAGGTTTACGGTTGTAGGGTAGAGTTTAGGGCTTAGGGTGTAGGGTTTAGGGTTCAGGGTTTAGGGTTTAAGGTTCAAGGTTGCAGGGTAATAGGGCTATATATATATATATATAGGGTGATAGGGTGGTGGAGCACGAAAGGTTCCTGGTCGTTTAGGGCCCGTTCTGACTACCTCTTCCACGGGGTTTTCGGCTTGGGGAAGTAGAGGCCCTTAGACTCAGGGTACCCAACCAGGGGCGCAGAACTGAGCCTGGTGAGTTAGGGTCCATGGTTTCGGAATATTGAGGGTGGTGAGCTGTAGGGCTGCCTGACTTTGAGGTGTTAGTGTTAATGTCTTTAGGCAGCAGCTGGAGGCCCAGCTGTAATACACACAGCAAGGTAGCTGAATCCTAGACCCGATATCCCATAAGGGCTCAGGGTCTAGGGGCTCAGGGTCTATGGACCCTCCCTAAACCCTAAACCCTAAACCCTAAACCCTAAACCCTAAGCCCTAAACCCTAAACCCTAAACCCTAAACCCTATAGCCCTTAAACCCTAAAGCCCTTATGGCCCCCATAGTCCCCAAGCCCAGGCCAAAGGTGCGCCCGGGAGGCATCCTCTGTGGCCATGACCTCCCGAAAGGCCCAGCCTTCGTGCAGGCCGCCGCCGAAGGAACCGTTTTATGCATTTGGGATTAGGGTTTAGGGTTTAGGGTTTAGGGTTTAGGATTCTCTCCCTTACACCAGCAGCCCCTTACTGGGAGATTCTAGTACCCCGATTATGATCCCTATTAGTGCAAGCCACGGCTGAAGGAACTGACGCATTAAGGGGCTTCAGCTTTTGTTGGCTTAAGGTCTAGGGTCTAGGGTCTAGGGTTTAGGGTTTAGGGTTTAGGGTTTAGGCTTTAGGGTTTAGGGTTTAGGGTTGCTAGGACCCAGAGTGAGTAGGCCCTGATTCCCTTTTTGGGGATAAGTTAAGTCTAGTTGTTTGGGTTTAGGGTTCAGGGTTTAGGACCTGAAGTATGTACGGTCTTTTTTTTTTTGAGGGGGAGGAGGGGGGCTCCAGGTTTCGAGGTTTGGGGGTTGAAGGCTGAAGGACTTAGGCATGTATGATTCCTCGGTAGCCTAGACAGAGGTTTTGGCTTCTTCAGGCGGACCGGAGGGCTTAAAGGGACACTCGTGCAGCTTGGGCGTTCTGGGGGGGAGGGGAGGGATCCGGGCAGTTGCAGTTTGGGGTTTAGGGTTTAGGGTTTAGGGTTTAGGGTTTAGGGTTTAGGGTTTAGGGTTTAGGGTTTAGGGTTTAGGGTTTAGGGTTTAGGGTTTGGGGGTTTCAGGCTTCGTGTTGTTTTTTGACTCGTCAGGTGGTTCTCGCACATGTCCCCAAGGGCAAGACGCTGGATGTGGGCCCCGACTGGATGTGGTGGTTCGAAGTCTGAGCTGGCGTCCCCTAAAGGGTTTAGGGTTGAGGGTTGAGGGTTGAGGGTGCAGCGAAGGGCTCGCTTCCGAGTCAGAGGCGAACCTGAATCGAACCCTCACCCCCTATGACCCGTAGGCCCCGAGACCCTAAACAAACCCCGAAGACCCTCAACCCCTAAAGACAGAAAAAACCCTAAGCCCCTAAACCTCTAAAGCCCTAAAGCCCCCAAACCCCTAAACTCCTGAACCCCTAAAGCCCCTCAACCCCTAAACCCTGAACCCTAGACCCCTAACCCCTATAATCCCGAAACCCTAATTCCTAAACCCTAAACCCTAAACCCTAAACCCTAAACGCCGAACTGCTCTCTTCACCACGCACTATGCTCGGGCGAGCATGGGCCTCCAGAGGAGCAAAAAGCAACGTGCCACGCTGCTGCGGTTTAGGGTTTAGGGTTGAGGGTTGAGGGTTGAGGGTTTAGGGTTGAGTGTCTTGCCCTCGGGATTCCCGGGTAGCAGGGCGTTAGTCCTGTCTGGTTGAAGGTACATGCAGTTGACAGGGTTTCGAGTCTGTATTCAGGGGTCCCTAAACTAATCTCGAACCTTAAAAGCCCGAAACCCTAAACTGCAGGCTCTGCGGTCTCGATTCTGCTGTCTGCTTGGTGCCGCGGGTATGGTGCAGGCAGGTCATGTGCGCGTGGCTCAAGCCGGGTCAGTGTGAGTATAGGGTTTAGGATTTAGGGTTTAGGGTTTAGGGTTTAGGGTTTGCGGGGTAACCTCAAGCCGTTTAGTTCATGCTCCGCCCGAAGCTTCGCCAAATCCTACCATTGACTTAGTGTTGGGGTTTAAGGTATTTACGCCCCAGCATTTCCAAAGCCACAAGCAGCCTTCGATGCACTCAACCCTCCTGCAGGTTCTTAATCGGGGGCGGAATCAGACTACCTTGCATCCCATCCAACCCTCTAAGGACGTCAAGGGAGACCTGCAATCCCAATTCCCAGCTATCCCTTACAAGGGTCCATGTACCTATGCAGTAGATCCTTGGGCCTTATAGAGTTGTTCCCACATAGCAGCTTTGAGGCCCAAGTATATACCATGGTATGCGGACCCTGAGTTTAGGGTTTAGGGTTTAGGGTTTAGGGTTTTGGGTCTGCCAACATGACTTGCGGGCTCGATCCCATCGTCGACCTCCAAGTGAACCTTCCAGGCAGGCTCGGGGTTGGATGCCTAAACCCTAAACCCTAAACCCTAAGGCTTTCGGGGTGCCCCCCTTGTTCTGCCTCAACTTGGGTTTACTACTATTTGCTTAAGAACACTCCCCCGCAAAACATGAAAAGTATGATTCCTCACGATGGCCATAATCTCTTTGTAGTACTTTACTGTAACTTTAGATCCTTAGCCTGTTTGGGTTTATTGGGTTTCTTAATAAGGCAGCTAAAATTTTAATTTTTAGCTGCCCTTCTGAGTGTAGCCAAGATCTAGGAATTTTTATTTCCTTGTTTTTGGGTGGCTTTTAAGCAAAGAGTAGTTCAGGGGTTTCGGGGGCTTCAGCCCTCTCAGCTCTGGCGGGGCAAGAACCTCAACAGCCAAACACGCTGCCTGTGGCTGACGGGACACCATCCAAACGTTGTTCTTACTTCTCTGAGGCGTGAAGGTACCATGAGGGTACCCTATAAGTCTATAACCCCATGTCGGTAGCTGAATTTATGTTCCTGAACAGAATTTGAACAAGAATTCAGTTGAAGCCGACACGTCTTAAACCCCAAACCCCAAACCCTAAACCCCAAACCCCACACCCTAAACCCTAAACCCTACGTAAACCCTAAACCCTAAACCCTAAACCCTAAACCCTAAACCCCGAGAGCTCTTAAACATCTGTGCTCCCAGGTCTCGCTGTGGTTCAAATCTCCGTGGATCGGCAGGAGGACATGGCTGCGTGAGCCCCTAACCCTAAACCCAAAACCCTAAACCCTAAACCCCAAACCCTAAACCCCAAACCGTAAACCCTAAACCCCCAAACCCTAAACCCCAAACCCTAAACCACTAGATCCTGAGCCCTAAACCCTAAACCCTAAACCCCAAACCCTAAACCCTAAACCCTAAACCCTAAACCCTAAACACCACTACCCTGGAATCAGGTTTCAGACTCCTCGCCCGGCCTCAAAGTCCAGGGCGCCCCCAGCGGTATCCTTATTCCCCTTTTCTGTCAGTTGCTTAGAAGGGTTTAGGGTTTGGGGTATAGGGTTTAGGGTTTAGGGTTTAGGGTTTCGGGTTTGGGGTATAGGGTTTAAGGTTTAGGGTTTAAGGTTTCGGGTTTGGGGTATAGGGTTTAAGGTTTAGGGCTTAGGGTTGGGGTTTGGGGTTTGGACTTTTGGGGTTTAGGGTTTAGGATCTGGGGTTCAGAGGCTACCGGACTCCTACACTGTAGTCCAACTAGAACCCGAACTATATAACCCAACTCACTAGTTAAGCCCTGCAAAGAAATCACTCCTTGCTGACGAGTAAGCTGCCCAGAAATCTGAAAGCACCGGCCATCTCAGATCTACAAGCATTTGCCGGCGCTTCAACTGGATTTAGGTTTCGATGTTTTAGGGTTTAGGGCTTAGGGCGTTTTGTCCTAAACCCTAAACCCTAAACCCTAAACCCTAAACCCTAAACCCTAAACCCAAAACCCAAAACCCAAAACCCAAAACCCAAAACCCAAAACCCAAGCGCAGCTGCACATAGAGTGACCCAGAGAAGCGGGCAGCTTCTCGGCTTGTTGTGGTGGGGGGGGGGGGGGGGGGGGGGCTTCTCTAAAACAGGTCCCCTTGTAGGGTTTAGGGTTTAGGGTTTAGGGTTCAGGGTTTAGGGTTTAGGGTTTAGGGTTTAATTAGGGTTTAGGTAGCTTTCATAGTGAAGCTCCTCAAAGGGGGACCCTAACACCCAAAACCCTCAACCTGAACCCTTGTTAATGACCTAGACGTGGTTTGTTTTTCTGCGTTGCCTATTCCCCACTTCAAGTGAGACGTACCCTAAACCCTAAACCCTAAACCCTAAACCCTAAACCCTAAACCCTAAACCCTAAACCCTAAACCCTAAACCCTAAACCCTAAACCCTAAACCCTAAACCCTAAACCCTAAACCCTAAACCCTAAACCCTAAGCCCTAGCTACTGGGTTTACTTGCTTTATGTTCATGTAGCTATATGCAAAGGGCTGCTCTTGGGGCTCAGAACCATTGAGGGTTCAGGGTTTAGGGTTTAGGGGTTTAGGGTTTTAGGGTTTAGGGTTTAGGGTATTTAGGGTTCAGGGCTATTTTGATGGAGGCTGCTTTCTTCAGCCGTCCAAGCCAGCCATGGGCCTGAATCTGTGGCATTTCGTACCTTGGCTGCTCCACTGCGGCTCCGGATCGTCTCATGGTCCTGGCGCGTGGGATAAGGACGGAAGCCCTTGAGGGGTTTAGGGTTTAGGGTTTGGGGTTTAGGGTTTAGGGTTTCGGGTTTAGGGTGTAGGGTTTAGTGCCTTTTGGGGCCTTTAGGGATTTAGGGCCTTTAGGGTTTAGGGTTGAGGGCCACACACCCCGAAAGATCCTCAGTCCCAACACCCTCATGCTGCCATACTCAACCCTGAAACCCTTCCAAATGCTGACCATAAGGAGACACTGCTTAGTAGATCTTAGTAGTCACCCTAAACCCTAAACCCTAAGCCCTAAGCCCTAAACCCTAAACCCTAAACCCACGTAATCTTTAATATTTGCTTAATCCCTGAATTTAAGGTGCTTTTTGTTTAGGGTTTAGGGTTTAGGGTTTAGGGTTTAGGGTTTAGGGTTTAGGGTTTAGGGTGTAGGGTGTAGGGTGTAGGGTGAGCTCGGGGCCATCCTGACTGAGACTCACCGATGAGTAGGTTTAGGGTTGAAGGATTCGGGTTTAGGGTTTAGGGTTTGGGGCATGACTGCCTGAAAGGTACTCTGACTCTCTCAAGTCTTCTTAGTAGGAAGCCTGCGCAAGTATGTTGCTGAGTTGCTGAGGGGTTTTCCAAACCCCAAAGCCCGTAAGCTACGCAGTTTCTGCAGGCCCCCCAACCCTGAGGTGTAGGGTTGAGGGTTTAGGGCTCAGGTGTTTAGGGTTTAGGATTTAGGGTGTAGGGTTGAGAGTTTAGACCCTTCGCAAGGGTCCCTGGGCCGTAGCCCTAAACCTAAACCCCAAACCCTAAACCAATAAACCCTAAAGCCCCCAACACACACCAATCCCCTAAGACCCTAAACCCCTCAAAGGAGGGCCGTCCGGTGCTGCGGGTGTCAGACACCAACATGGGCTGGAGAATGCACCGGCAGATGGACCCTCAGGGTTTGCTTAGGGTTTAGGGTTTAGGGTTTAGGGTTAGGGTTTAGGGTTTAGGGTTTAGGGTTTAGGGTTTAGGGTTTAGGGTTTAGGGTTTAGGGTTTAGGGTTTAGGGTTTAGGGTTTAGGGTTTAGGGTTTAGGGTTAGGGTTCAGGGTTCAGGGTTCAGGGTCTAGGGACTACAGGTATACAGGTTTTGGGTTCAAGGGTTTTGCAGGTTTGAGGGCTTAGGGGTTTAAGGACATTGACGGGTTGAACTCTGAAGCAGTCCCACCCCTCCCCGCTCACCGTATCACCCCAAACCCTAAACCCTAAACCCTAAACCCTGAACCCTAAACCCTAAACCCTAAACCCTAAACCCTAAACCCTAAACATAGCTTCTTTCCAGCGAAGGAGCTAGAGTCAACGAGGCGCTTCTTTCAAGCTGTGGACAGGTATGCGGCTCGGTAGGCCTTTGGAAGCCTGTTCTTTCCTGGTTCGTAGTAGGGCTTAGGGTTTAGGGTTTCGGGTTTAGGGTTTAGGGTTTAGGGTTTAGGGTTTAGGGTGTAGGGTTTAGGGTTTAGGGTTTAGGGTGTAGGGTAAGGGTTAATATAAGTACCTCATTCCCTCATTCCCTCCTTCCCTCCATTTTCCTGCTCAGAACCAGCCAGTTGTCCACTCGCTTAGCCTTCTTGGGCAAAGTCTCTAAGAGGGTCTCTGACTCTGAAACCCTCGAATCCCTGAACCCGAACCCTAAACACCCCTTCCCCCAAGCCTAAAGCGTACGTATATGAACCCCTAAGCCCTAAACCCTCAACCCTGAACCCTAAACCCTAAACCCTAAACACTAAACCCTAAACCCTAAACCCTAAACCCTAAACCCTAAACCCTAAACCCAACCTAGGTGGGCGAGCCCCTCTACCAGGCGAACTCCTGGTTGAACTCCCAAGGGGGCGTCGCTTGCGTCACGTCGGGCTGTGCCACCTCCTTGGGCGTGGGCTCCTGCGAACAAGCACCTTCGGACTTGGCAGGGTTTAGGGTTTAGGGTTTAGGGTTTAGGGTTTAGGGTTTAGGGTTTTGGGTTCAGGGTTTAGGGTTTAGGGTTTAGGGTTTAGGTTTTAGGGTTTCCAGGGCTTAGGGAGTTTAGGATGTGGGGAGTTTTTGCGTCGAGGTTTGGTGCTAAGGGCTGAGGGAGTTGAGTATCAGGGAAGTGCAGGGCCGAATGCTGGGTGCTATGTATGGGTTTAGGATGTAGTTTTTAAGGTGCAAGCCCTAGACCCTAAACGGTTCAGGGAGTTGAGTGCCCTTAGGAATGTTTAGGAGCATAGGTGATCTTAGGCCACCAGAACATCTCAACCCCTAAGCCCTAAACCAAGAACCCTAACCAGACCCCGGGGAGGATCCAGAAAGTAGAGCCCCCAAATCGTACCCTCTACTACTATTGGGTCATTCTCAGGAACCCTTAAGGGGATCAACTTTTTGGATCCTCCCAGGGGTCTCGGAAACCTTAAACCCCAAACCCTAAACCCTAAACCCTAAACCCTAAACCCCGAACCCTAATGAAACCCATGCAGTCCGCAAGGCAACGCTCCTCTCGGCGGTGGCGCGCTCGACCGAGATCCTGTCCGACGCGCAGGACCCTCGTGGGAGGAGGATGGCGGCTCCCGTGGACCTAATCCCTAAAACCTGAGCCCGAAACCCTAAACTTTAAACCCTCAACCCGAAACCCTAAGCCCTAAGCCCTAAGCCCTGAACCCAAATCCTTCACTCTTTGAGGTTTAGGGAGTAGGGCTGTGAGCCTCAGGCCTATATCCTTGCCCTGGTAAGCTGCGCGGTCTCTTGAAGAACGCTACGGATTATAGGGTTTAGTGGCCCAATCTAGCGCCTGCTTTTTTTAGAATTCGTGAAATGCTTACCGCTGACCGGAGGGAACGTTTCCGTTGGCCGGAGTGCATCCAAGGCCGTGCTACAGCCTAGCCTAAAGCCCGAGGCCCTAAACCTAAACCCCTAACCCTAAACCCTATAAACCCTACCCTAACGCCTAGCCTAAGGCCCGTAAGCCCTAAACCCCTAAACCCTAAACCCTAAACCCTAAACCCTATACCCCTGACCCTGAGTTGATAGGATCTGAACTCAAGAGCCCTTTGTTGGGAGACGATCGGGTGAGCTCTCCAGGGGCCCCGCCTTCGAAGGGAATCCCGGCGGTGTAAGGGCAAGGGAAGGGGGTAGAAGGGCCCCCCCCCCCCAAGTATGGTCTTCAGATGGCCTAAACCCCGAGACCCCAAACCCCAAGCCCTAAACCCTAAACCCTAAACCCTAAACCCTAAACCCTAAACCCTAAGCCGCTTAAGCCCTAAACCCGACACCCACCCCTCCCTGGGATCGTTACGACTTCTTCGAAGGAAGCCCTGCAGCGGGACTTCGGTGAGATCTGCCGGCGCCACGGCGGTTTTCGGCGAAGCCAGGAGGTGGGTTTAGGGTTTAGGGTTTGGGGTTTAGGGTTTAGGGTTTAGCGGTTAGGGTTTTAGGGTGTCGGGTTTAGGGTTTGTTAGGGTTTAGGGTTGGGGGTTGAGGGTTGAGGGTTGAGGGTTAAGGGTTGAGGGTTGAGGGTTTGATTTAGGATTTG